AACTTTTTAAAAATTATAGGACTGGGGTGTGGTGGCTCACACCTGTAATCCCAGCCAAGGTGGGAGAATTACTTGAGTCCAGGAGTTCAAGACCAGCCTGGGCAACATAGAGAGACCCCATCTCTTCAAAAAAAAAAAAAAAAAAAGAAAGAAAGAAAAATGTTATAGCCATCCTAGTAGGTATGAAGTGGTATTCATTACATTTATTAAAAAATTGGTTGGACGTGGTGGCTCACACCTGTAATTCCAGCGCTTTGGGAGGCCAAGGTAGGTGGATCACTTGCAATCAGGAGTTTGAGAGCAGCCTGTCCAACATGGTGAAACCCTGTCTTTACTAAAAAAAAAAAAATACAAAAATTAGCTGGACGCAGTGGTAGATACCTGTAATCCCAGCTACTCGGGAGGCTAAGGCTGGAGAATCTCTTGAACCTGGGAGGCAGGGGTTGTAGTGAGCCAAGGTTGTGCCACTGCACTCCAGCCTGGGCCAGAGAATGAGACTCCATCTCAAAAAAAAAAAAAAAAAAATTGCTATTTTAAAAACGTTCAGCTATCTGTACCACATCATTGTGGTCCTAGAGTATTTTCTTGGTGACTAATAATGTTGACCATTTTTCATGTGCTTCTGGTCATTTGTGTATCTTCTTTTGAAAAATGTCTGTTCATGTATCAACCACTTGGGAGGCTGAGGCAGAAGGATCACTTGAGCCTGGGAGATCAAGGCTGCAGTGAGCTACAATTATGTCTCTGCACTCCAGCCTGGGTGAGACCCTGACCCTGACCAAAAAAAATTTTTTTTTATATAAAGTTCATCTTTTTTTTTTTTTTTTGAGACAGAGTTTTGCTCTTATTGCCCAGACTGGAATGTAATGGCTCAATCTTGGCTCACAGCAACCTCCACCTCCCAGGTTCAAGCGATTCTTCTGCCTCAGCCTCCCAAGTAGCTGGGATTACAGGCATGTACAACCATGCCGGGCTAATATTTTGTATTTTTAGTAGAGATGGGGTTTCCTCATGTTGGTCAGGCTAGTCTCCAACTCCCAACCTCGAGTGACTCACCTGCCTCAGCCTCCCAAACTGCTGGGATTACAGGCATGAGCCACCATGCTCAGTCCAATTTATCTATTTTTAAAGTTTTTGTTGCTTGTGCTTTTACTGTCATATTGTCTAATGCAAGGTGGTGAAGATTTACACTTGTGTTTTCTCCTAAGAATTTTAGAGTTTTTGTTGATCCATTTTGAGTTAATACTTGTACGTGGTGTGAGGTAGTGGACCGATATTCTTTTGCATGTGGGTATCTAATTGTCCCAGCAGCATTTGTTAAAAAAAAAAACTGTTCTTGCTGGGCACGGTGGCTTTTTGGCATTAGCCCACCTGCACCCAGGTGAAATTGTTTAAAAAAAAAAAAAGATTGCCTTGAATCTGTAGATCTGTAGATGAATTTTGGGACTATGACCACATTAACAATATTGTCTTCAATCCATGAACATGGGATTTCTTTTTATTTATTTGGTAGGTCTTCTTTAATTTCTTTCAACAGCATTTTGTTGTTTTCAGTGTACCATTCTTATGTACTTGTATGGTTAAATTTATTCCTATTTGTAATTTCATTTTCAAATGATTCATTTCTAGTTTAATTTGATTTTTGCATATTGATATTATTATATCCTGCAACCTTGCTAAACTCATTAGCTTTAATATGTGTATATGTGTGTATTCTTTTTTTTTTTTTTGAGACAGAGTTTTGCTCTTGTTACCCAGGCTGGAGTGCAATGGCACGATCTCAGCTCACCGCAACCTCCGCCTCCTGTGTTCAAGCAATTCTCCTGCCTCAGCCTCCTGAGTAGCTGGGATTACAGGCACGTGCCACCATGCCCAGCTAATTTTTTTGTATCTTTAGTAGAGACGGGGTTTCACCATGTTGACCAGGATGGTCTCGATCTCTTGACCTCGTGATCCACCCGCCTCGGCCTCCCAAAGTGCTGGGATTACAGGCTTGAGCCACCGCACCCGGCTTATGTGTGTATTCTTTAAGATTTTCTGTATAGTCATGTTATCTGCAAATAGAGATAGTTCTTCCTTTCCAATTTAGATGCCTCTTCTTTTTCTATCCTGGCAGACATCTTTAGGAACTATCTTGGTTCTTCTAGGGAAAAGTGAAAAAACTGGTGGCCATTTGGGCATTGGAAATTTTATTTCTATGCTCTTCTCCATTATTATCTTAATTTATCTTGTGTCCTTTTGTCCCATGGTCAATCTTGATTTCAACACAGAACCTTAACTTCTTTTTTTTTTTTTTGAGACAGAGTTTCGCTCTTGTTACCCAGGCTGGAGTGCAATGGCGCGATCTCGGCTCACCGCAACCTCCGCCTCCTGGGCTCAGGCAATTCTCCTGTCTCAGCCTCTGAGTAGCTGGGATTACAGGCACGCGCCACCACGCCCAGCTAATTTTTTGCACTTTTAGTAGAGATGGGGTTTCACCACGTTGACCAGGATGGTCTCGATCTCTCGACCTCGTGATCCACCCGCCTCAGCCTCCCAAAGTGCTGGGATTACAGGCTTGAGCCACCGCGCCCAGCACCTTAACTTCTTTATACCTTCCTGTATGAAACATATCAAAATCAGGGTTCATTACTTCGTTTCCCTAAAAGCTCTTATTCTACAAATCACCCTTTCAGGTAAGCTCATCACATATTCCCTCTGTCTTGAATTCAACTGACCCTGTTCATCAACTCTTTTCCAGCTCTATAATTTATCTTTCTTTTTCTTCCTCTTTGGAACTTTTGCAGCTAATAATAAGGAAACAGCTCCAGGATGAAATAACAAATATGCAAAATACAGATTCCTGGAGGAAACATAGAGGTGTGTTTAATCAGAGGGAGCTCAGACAATTGTGAAATAAGGATATAAGAAAGTAGCAAAGGCCACGTGTGTTGGTGCGCACCTGTAGTCCCAGTTACTTGGGAGGCTGTGGCAGGAGGATCTTTTGATCCTAGTAGTTAAATGCTGCAGTGAGCCATGATTGCACCACTGCACTCCAGCCTGGGTGACACAGCAGGACCCTGTCTGAAACAAAAAAACAGAAAGCAGCAAAGAGCATAGTGAGGATACATTATTTAAGTTGAGGCTGGGCGTGGTGGCTCACGCTTGTAATCCCAGCACTTTGGGAGGCTGAGGCAGGTGGATCACCTGAGGTCAGAAGCTTGAGACCAGCCTGGCCAACATGACAAATCCTTGTCCCTACTAAAAATAGAAAAATTAGCCGGGCGGGCTTGGTGGCAGGTGCCTGTTATCACAGCTACTCGGGAGGCTGAGGCAGAAGAATTGCTTGAACTTGGGAGGCGGAGGTTGCAGTGAGCCAAGATGGCGCCACTGTACTCCAGGCTGGGAGAATGAGAGAGACTCTGTCTCAAAAATAAAAAATAAGTAAATTAGATCCCAGTTGATGGGAAACAAAGTGGAGACTTGGAAGAAACTGTGCAGTTACACAATGACTGAAAAAATACTCTGGCTTGAACATGTTAAGCAAAATAAAGAGGGAAAGGGACTCGTGGTAGAAAGCCAGATATTGATGAAGAACACATCAGCATTAAGGTCTAGCAAGGCCTCCATGTACATAGTTTTGAGTTTGGATACTCTGAGAGACTTATGCTTCTTGTCCAAGGTGAGGGCAACCTTAGATTAGAAAGCAAGGTGAGCTGGCAGAATTGGCTCTGGGGAGCTCTTAGAAACCCAGGTATTCATCAAGGAGGCTCCTGATGGAATACAGAGCTTCTTTAAACTCTAAAAAAAAATCTGCCTTCTTTTTTCCGTAGGAGGATTATCAGATAAAGTAGTAAAAGCCTAGGCTGGGTGTGGTGGCTCACACCTGTTATCCCAGCACTTTGGGAGGCAGAAGTGGGAGGATCCCTTAAGCCCAGGAGTTTGAGACCAGCCTAGCCAATATAGTGAGACCTGTCTCTTCAAAAATAAAACTAAAAAATTAGCCAGGCACGGTGGCACATGCCTGTAGTCTCAGCTACTCGGGAGGCTGAGGCAGAAGAATCACTTGTGACCAGGAGTTTGAGGCTGCAGTGAGTTACGATCACACCACTGCACTCCAGCCTGGGCAACAGAGCAAGACCCTATCTTAAGAAAAATAATTTTAAAAGTATTAAAAGCTAAAAAGAAAAACCAAAAACTAAAACCGTTTCCACTTTGTGCACCTGTGAGCATGAAACCCTCTGCTCCAGGAACATACAAGCCTTCTCTTTGATTGGTTTTCCTTTCTTCCTGCTGTTGTGCATATCAGCATTCTCAAGCAGCCATTTTATTCCCTGGAGGCAATTACATTTCAGAAACAGGAAAGAGCTGGACTGCCCAGCCTGGGTTGCAAGGTAAAGAACTGCTTTTGACCAGGTGTGGCGGCTCATGCCTGTAATCTCAGCACTTTGGGAGGCCGAGGCAGGTGGATCACCTGAGGTCAGGTGTTCAAGACCAGCCTGATCAACATGGGGAAACCCCATCTCTACTAAAAATACAAAATTAGCCGGGTGTGGTGGCACATGCCTGTAATCCCAGCTACTTGGAAGGCTGAGGCAGGAGAATGCTTGAACTGAAGAGGCAGAGGTCGTAGTGAGCCATTGCACTCCGGCCTGGGAAACAAGAGCGAAACTCCGTCTCAAACAAACAAACAAACAAAAAGAACTGCTTTCCAAGGGAGTGCTTCTCCTGCTGGTCTCTTCCTCTCCCAGTCTCTCTCTCTTAGGTCTCTGCCCGAACACGTGACACATCTGAGCACCCTGGCACTTTCCCAGGCTCAAGTTGCCAGCTGGTGTTAATGTGTTTGATTAATGGCAGCAGACTCCTGGCTTCCTGCTTCCCAGAGTTTAACCTAAAGTTACCTTTAGGACAGCAGGGCAGGTTACTGGGGTATGAGTCAACCATTGTAACTTCTACGTCTTTTATACTCTTAAAGGTACAGACATAGATAGAAGCCAAAAAAACTCTCAGACCCAGTGCAATCAGATTCACTTCACTTTTATTATGAACAAACACAATCTCAGATCAGTACAACTAGCTTCAGAGTTGATATTAATAGAAATTATTCCAAAATTATTTTGTCACAAATAACTACTATCCCACATAAAAAGGGAAAAATCCCACCCAATCAAAGAAAAGGTATCCTGCGTATGTTTCCATGGCAATGAGTTTATGCATTCTCAAATTTTCTTCTGGCTAGTTATCTACTACTTCTCCAATTCATCAAGATTAACCATGGGACAATTCATTCAATCTCTTGGAGAACCATATAGACTAATGAAAACTAATGATAGCATCCGGGACACATGGACACAGTAAGTTCATGGTGGACATTGCTATTATAAAAAATACTCAGGTCTTGAGAATTCCTGTGCTGAAGGATCCCAAAATGCTTTATAAAAAGCATTAGTCACGCCTCAAAACTGCCCTTTGAGGTAGGTCAGTATTATTATCCCCATTTTAACAGAAGGAAAACTGAGGCACATTATAGTTAAGTGACTTGCCCAGGGTCACGTAGCAAGTCAGTGGCACAGTGGTAGGAGAGGCCCTGGCCTTAACCACCAGCATAGCATTGCCACCTTGCTTTATTTAACCTTTCATGCTGACCCATTTGAGCCACACTTACAGAGAATACACTCAGGATACTACCAAACCAAAGAGAAAAAATTCCATTTTAAATGCTACAACCATCTTTTAACCTAAAAAAAAAAAAGATGATAAATCAAATACATTCAAATTACTTCCACCCTCCATCAAATGTGGGCACTTAAGAAAAACAACCCTAACAAAAATCTCCAGAATGAAGCCCAGAAGGGAATCCTGCAATTCGTGATACTGACAATCCTCCGTTCAGGCCCCTTTTTCTACCAGCCACTTCTGTAGGCTCTCAGGTGCAAAGGGACTCTGCAGAGGGAGTGAGGGCGGGCTCATATGCAACACTGATTAGAAAGGTGTAAGGCACCAGGTAAGTTGTCGGCACACCCCCAAAGCAAGGACTGTTAGAGATCTAGACTCTTGATCAGATCTGAGTTTCTCATTAATGTGTCACTTGAATTGAGCTTTAGAATCTTGAAAATAGTGTTCCTTACTCAGCAGACAAATCCCCACCCATACCCACACATATTGGGGCCCTCAGCCTGAGGTCTCCACCCAGACTTATGTAAGGGTGATGGTACAGATCAGATCCATGGCACACAATTACAATAGGAAGAAGTGAAAGTTATTTTTATTGTTCTTATATTATCAAGCAGGCCTCTGGTGACCTGTGGAATTAGAAGTACCCAGCAGACATTTCCAAGGGGTCACAAGTCAACAGATCTAAACTACATTGATCTTCCCTTAGATTCTTTTCCTACTGAGGTGAATAGCTCAAAAGACAAGGATGCCTTTAGTCCAGGCTAACCCCTGTAGCCTCTATTCGATTAACACAGGAAGAAAGACCCTCCTCCCTTCCACCACTGGGGCTCAACAGTGGACTGAGCGTTCGGTAGTGTACATTTCCAATCTTAATAGAGCAAAGCCAGGCTTCTGCTTTGATGACTGAGGTACAGGGACAGGAGTGGTCCAAGGTTTTAAGACCACTCATGTTCTGTTTGTTTTTTTCCAGACTTCTATACTATTGTCTGCCCTAGGCCGTAGGAAATGCTGGTTAGTCTGCTGAACAGTCACTCTGTTCAGCAGGTTTTGTGGTTCTCTCAAATCCCAAGTCTCAGCCAAACCTTTGCAATCTACCCTGACTCCAGGGAACAGGGCCTCCTTTCGAGGTGAGGCACTTGGGTTCTTGCCCTTCCAGTGAGGACTGCTTCCTCCTACTTCTACAAGCATTGGCACTGCCAGCTGAGAGCACTGACTCAGGAGGGGCAGCCTTACTGAGCAAGCAGGGGGCATTCAGCATGCTCTCTGGTTCTGACCCAGACAGAGGGGACTGAAAACAAACCCTCTGTTGCTCTGTGGCTGGCTCACTGGCTCAATGTGAGCGCTTGGCTTGGCCATGGCCCCTGAGAGGTGGGGAGAGAGAAGGGCTCTGGGCCAGAGAGGTTTCTGGGAGGGATTGCCAGCCTTATCTTGAGCCATCAGTGTGGCAGGGGAGCACAGGGTGTAGGTGGAGACACGCCAGAGGCCACGTGAAAGTGGCAGCCAGCTCTACTTTCGAAAGAGAAGCAGTGGTTCAGTGACCCTGAGCATTCTGTCTGCAGGAGGGAGCTGCCTGGACAGCAAGTCATCACCCCCTCTGAATACACACAAAGGAGGCTGCCCAACCAGGAAAAGAAGAAAACATCAGGGAAGAGAAAGATCTGCTAAGAGAAAAGGGACAGACAGGGTAGAGCCAGGAATCAAGAATCAGGATAGTGAAGAGATTCCTAATCCTGCCCCTAACAGGCAGTTCTATTCATTAGGCTAGATGTTAACAGAGCCAAAAAAAAAAAAAAAAAAAAAAAAAGTGAAGGGGCACAACACCGAGAAAAGCCTTCTCGATTTTACTCATTTCAAGGAGAAACTGGAACTCATTAATGAATGGACCTAACATCTAGCTTATTTTATTAAGACTTTCACTAACTCCCTCAGTAACCCTTCTCATGCCCTTGGCAATGTGTTCTCAGAGCCTTTTCGATATGAAGTTCGCCCTTAGAAGCTGCCTACAGATTCTGTCCGTCAGCCTCTCCATCTCATGTCCAGCAGTGGAGAGGAAATTGGCAACCCAACTAACTCCTCCTCTCCTTCAGAGTTTTTTCAAACATCCCTCTTTGGGAGGGAAATACTCTAAGTGAAATAGTTTAATGTTCTAAGCAATGTTTATGTGTATATATATTTTATGTTTGACCCGACTCCACCTCCTAAAATCTTTCCCTTTTTTGGATGTTTGGAAATGCCACAGCCATCTTGTTACTATGGGGGGGAGCAACTGATATCCTGAAGATGGCAGAGCAGAGGAAAGAATTTTGATGAGCAGCTCATGGAATCCTCAAAATTCTATGAGCTACTGTATTTACCAATTCTGCAATCACCCAACTTCAAGAATTCTTGATACATGACCTAAGAAATCTCCTTGTCATTAGAGAAAAAAAAATCCCTTCCCCAGCAGAGACCACTTTTTCTACAAACTTATAATGTTTCTTCTTTAGCCTCGGCCTAAACTATACATTATGACATTGAGATTAGCATTGCCAAACTCCACAGCCACTTCTTACCCCAAGCCAGGAGAGAAAGGAAGCATGCTGTGTCGTGGGGCTTGAAGTCCTCACTAGGTAGGCAGCTGCACGTCTGATCATGGCAAGAGCTTCCTCTTGCTTCATTTCCCTCGTCCTTACATCCATCCGTGCTAACTCCCTCCCCCGACAATGCACCTGCTTTAGAAGCTTTGCGTCAAATGAAGTTACTTTTCCATTCCATCTAGCAAGAGCCTGGGCTGAAGCTAATTCACAGGGAACCACCCGGGTTCTGTTTTATCTCTAGCTTGAGCCACCTGCCTCAAAGCTCACAACAGCTCAAGGAAAGAGAGTTATTTGGAGCAAAGACTATTACTGTTAGGCTACAGAAAGGTGGTCTAGGCTTTGGAAGCTGGACACTGAACAATGACTGATCAGCTGCTTGCCTGGGAAGCAATGAGAAGAGAAAGGAAGGTGATAGCAACAAAGTGAAAGGAGGACAATGGGCTTAGGAGAGAGAGAGGATAGAAGAAAAAATATCAGCTTAGCATCATAAAGGCAGAGTTCTTGGCTTTCAATACTTTCGCATTTTAAAAGAATACTGTACTGGAACGGGTTAACGTCATCATCTTTAGCATCCTGGTAGCATTATTCAGTAGTTAATAAACAGACATAAAACCTCTGCCTGGCTGACTTTGAAAAAGAATCTGAGGGACCCCAAACTCAGCCACTCTTGTAGCTTCCATCCCCAGTTCTTTTAATCCTGGCCAAGATGGCAGCCTTCGAGACTTTCTTCCGGTCATAGGCCAGACCGAGGGCAGCCATGCAATCAATGAAGAATGTGGTTAAGTTGATGTGCCAGCGGTACTCACTGGCAGAGTAGTCATAGGGAAAGGAGTGGTGGTAGTTGTGGAAGCCCTCACCTGAAACAAAAGCAAGGAGACGTTATGGAGTGAGGGTGCATGGAGGTCTTCTTGATTTGTGCACACCAGTTAGCTAGCAGGGTACCTCACACCAAATAGATGATCCCCTCAGAGGCAACTTTACTTTTATTTTATTATTTTCCTTTTTCTGTAGAGATGGTGTCTTGCCATGTTGCAAACACCCTTCCCACCTTGACCACCCAAAGGGCTAGGATTACAGTCATGAGTCGCTGTACACAGCCAGTGAAAGGCATCTTAAGAAGTGACTGGAGAGGCCCTGGTCACCCATGGCTGTCTGGGAGCCTGATGGAAGGTGACCTGACAGTTTCTTGGAGGATAAAATGACTAGAGAGAAGCTGCTACTGTTGGGAATGGATTTCAGACTGGAAGTTCCAAATTCACTATTGGCCCTGCCCTCAAGGCTCTATGTGTGTGTGCACGTGTCTGCAGAATGACTCTTCAAAAAAGGAGTAAAGGAGCACACCTTTACCCACCACACTACCTCTAGAGGTGGGTGGTTCCTACAGAGTGAGCCCTGCAGCCAAGGGTCAGAAGAAAGGTCAGCCCGGGGGCTGGAATCTCCTCAGCCACTGCAGTTCGGAGGTGAGGGGCTGGGGGGTGCTGCTCTGACTTTTTTGACCTTTGTCCCTGGGGTAGGGGAGGGGCTGATAAAATAGACACTCTCTGAGGGTAGAAAAACGGAAATGCTTAAATACTCTCTAACCTCTGAGAATCTGAGGACTCTTGGGATGATCATTTCACTTTGCTGGAGGGAAAAAAACAAATTCTGGAGTCAGGGCAATTTTTGTAATGTGTAAAGCTTTGGAAACTCTACAGATAGAGACTCCGCCAACTCTTGGCAGCACTCTTCTTTCTGAACCACAGCCAACAATAATACTGACCCTAATCAGGCCTGGGTAAAGAATAGCTACTAAGAGCTAATATTGGGCTCTGTGTGGATAAAAATACCCTCAGCCAGACCAGTTATGGCATTAATCAGAAGCGAGGGAAGGAAGTCCTGCAAAGTAAATGATATCGTCATGGACATTCCAAGGTATGTCCACCCTCTGTGACACTTGATGATCTGCAGGGTGAATGAGGAGAGGGGTAGAATGCCAGGAATAAAGGTACTGAGGATTATTAATTTCCAATAATGGTTTTGCAGCTGGGCTCTGTGTAAGCACTAGCCAGGCCTTTAGTTACCAGATTTAAAATGGAATCACATACACACAGAGAGACAGGGAGGAAAAAAAAGAGGAAGAGGGTCAATGGCTAGAAGAAGACAGGACTTTGCAACTGGGGCAGCAAGAGACAGCCCAAGAATGGCTCAAGGGAGAAGGTTGATTTGGCAGAGAAGAGAGCATGTGACTGACCATGGGGGAGATAATTCAAGAAACAAAAAGATTAGGGTGGCAGGAAAGAGCCAGAGGAAACAAAGAGTGAGGTGATAAGGGAGGAAAGCAGCCTGGCAAGGAGGAGTGAATGATAACCAAGACAGGTCAGATATTGGCAGCCACTGTGAACCCAGAGACTAGAGGTAGGGAAGGTCACTAGAGATCCGTTTGCAATACAGGACACGTCTCATGCCAGAAACTCCATTCCTATGATAATCTCAGATTTATACGGTGTATGTGATTTATTTTAATCATGGATAAAAGTAAGAATAGGCACAATGGCAAGAAGATGCCTGAAAGGAGCAAGGAGATACATGAAAGTTAAAGACAGGGGAAAAAATTGCTTTTATTTTTATTATTGGTTTTTTGAGATGGAGTCTTGCTCTGTCACCCAGGCTGGAGTGCAGTGGCAAAATGTTGGCTTACTGAAACTTCCACCACCTGAGTTCAAGCGATTCTCCTGCCTCAGCCTCCTGAATAGCTGGGACTACAGTGTGTTCCATCACGCCTGGCTAATTTTTTTTTTTTTTTTCCTTAGTGGAGACAGAGCTTCCCTATATTGACCAGGCTGGTCTCTAACTTCTGAACCTCAAGTGATCCACTCACTTTGGCTTCCCAAAGTGCGAGAATTACAAGTGCCAGAATGACAGGTGTGAGCCACCATGCCTAGACAAATAAATCCTTTTAATAAAGATGAGCCAGTCAAGGTGGCTCATGCCTATAATCCCAGCACTTTGGAAGGCCAAGGTGGACAGATCACTCAAGCTCAGGAGTTCGAGACCAGCCTGGGCAACATGCCAAAACCCTGTCTCTACAAAAAAAATACAAAAATTAGCCAAGCATGGTGGCATGCACCTGTAGTCTCAGTTACTTGGGAGGCGGAGGCCAGAGGGTCACTTGAACAGAGGAGGTCACAGCTGCAGTGAGCCGGGATCACACCACAGCACTCAAACCTGGGCAACAGAGTGAGACTCTGTCTCAACAATAACAACAATTTAAAAGACAGTAAAGATGGTTAAGGTGGAGAACATAAAGGAAGATTTTAAGGAGAAAATGAGTGTAAGGCAATGACCTGCAGAGATGTGTACAGTCGTATGGTTGTCTAGATATTACTGAAGAACCAACAGCACCAGTTGCTGGAGAGAAGAGGCCACTGGATCTAATTAAGGAAAACACATCCAGGGCCTTGACTGAAGTCTATATTCAGTTGGAAAGAGGGACAGAGAAAAAAAATGTAGATACTTTGGGAAGCTGAGGCAGAAGGATCACTTGAGTCTTGAGTTCAAGACCAGCCTGGGCACCATGGTGAGAACCCATCTCATTTGAAAACAAACAGTCAACATTAGAAAACGGAGCAGGAACTTGTGATCAAACTAACTGCTATACTGGGAGATTCCTGAAGGCATGTTGGGGGAAGGAATATTCCTAGCTCAGAATAGGAAGAGAGAAAGTAGAGGCCAAGAGGAGACCAGATGGTAGGTGGTAGTAAAGGGCCACCAGCAGTTACTTTGATGCCCTTCATAATGGCATCACCAAACAGTAAGGCATGGCACACACTTAAGAGTATGGCATATCTGCGGGGCGTGGTGGCTCAAGCCTGTAATCCCAGCACTTTGGGAGGCTGAGGCGGGTGGATCACGAGGTCAAGAGATTGAGACCATCCTGGTCAACATGGTGAAACCCCGTCTCTACTAAAAATACAAAAAATTAGCTGGGCATGGTGGCGTGTGCCTGTAATCCCAGCTACTTAGGAGGCTGAGGCAGAA